GGAGGGGGAGCAGCAGGAGGAGAGGGAGGATGAGGGCGAGGAGGAGGGAAAAGAGAGAGGCGGAAGGGGGCGCAGAGGGGGGGGGAGGATGAGGAGGAGGATACGGAGGAGGAGGAGGGGGGGAAGAGGAGGACGGAGGAGGAGGGCGCCTGCTCCTGCTGCCTCCTCTCCTATAGCCTCTGCGGCCCGAGCTGCCGACCGCAGTTGTTGCCGAGGGTAAGAGCACTTCGGCGGAGGCACCTTCTGCGACGCGGGCGCCTACCTCAGAGGCCGCGGCTGTACCAGCTGCGGCCATGGCGGGTGGCCGGAAACACAAGGGACGAGGCCAGAAGCAGCGGAACAACGCACGGGCGGCCCTACACAGCGCCCAGAGCGGCCCGCGGAGCGAGGCCGCCGCGACGGCGCAGACGGCGGGGCGGATGGTCGCGCGCCAGGTTCTAGAGGAGCGCGGCTTGCCGAACCACTCTCAGCAGGAGGAGTGGGGCGTTGAATTCACTAGCATCTTCGCGTTGGCGTTCAACACCAGGCTCGGGCGCCTCCCGCCGCCGCCTCCGCCACCGGCGCCGGGCCCGCCTGCGGCGGCGCCCCGCGAGCAGCCAGCGGCGGCGCCACGTGAGGACCCGGCGGCGTCGCCACGCGAGGGGCCTGCGGCGGCGGCCCATGAGAAGCCTGCGGCGGCGCTGTCGCCGCGTGAGCTTCGTTCGCGGCGGGCGCGGGCCAGATCCGGCTCCAGCTCCGCCGACGATGCGGCTCCCGTACCTGACAAATGCGGGTCAACAGACACCCCGCGCGACTCGGACGAAGAGCCCGATGCGGCGGCTGCCCCAGCTGCTTATGCGCGGGCCGCTGGCGCGAACAAGGAGCCCGAGACGGCGGCGCCAGAGGGCTCCGAGACAGGTGAGTCCAGCGATTCTCGGAGTGCTTCCTGCTCCGCGTCGGCTGCTCCAGCTGATCGGGCGAGGAGCGGCGGGCGCCGCCGCGAGGCTGTCACCGAACGCAGAGCGGATGACTCGGCGGCTGTTACAGCTGCTGAGGCGAAGAGCGGCGGGCGCCGCAGCCAGACGCCCAAGGAAGGCAGGGCGGATGATTTGCGGAGTGCTTCCCGGGCTCCCTTGCCTGTTCCAGCCTACGAGGGGAGGAGCCGCGGGCGTCGCCGCCAGGCTGACAACAAACGTGGCGCGGGTCTCAGTGCTTCGCCAGCGCCGTCGGCTGCTCCCAAAGAGGAGGCGGGGAAGGTAAAACGAACCCGCAGGGCTGAGCGCGCCCCGCCAGTGCCGCTGCAGACGCGCGAGCCGCAGCCGCCCGAGCGGGAGAGGCGCCGGCCGGGGCGCCGGCCGGATGCGGAGCGGCGCGAGCGCAGCTCGCGACGGGAGAAGAGCGGCGGCGCGCCGAGGGGGGCGGGGGAGGAAGGGTTTTTTTGTTTCCAGCGTTTTTTCCTGCGGGGTCGGCCTCCAGCCCTCCTTTGTTCGGCGCTCAGGGCCGTCAGCGAAACAACCCAGGACGACAGACCAGTCCCCGGGAAGGGGTGGAGAGGTGAAGAGGGTTGGTGAGAAACGGCCTGCCTTCGAAGAACCCCCCCCCCCTTCCCGCCGCTCCCCTTGACGCGCCGCCGAGCAGCCGCGGCGCGCGCAGCTGCCGGAGCAGGAGAGGCGGCGGCCGGAGCCAGAGCGGCGCGAGCGCGGCTCGCGCCGGGAGCAGAGCGGGCGGACTTTTCATGCGGGGGTGACGGCGCACCTGCGGGAAACGGTGGCGTCGCACCTGCGGACCCTGCGCGCCGAGGAGCAGACGCGCCAGCCCGCCCACTACGACGAGCCGCCCAAGAAGAAGCTCCGTAAGGAGGATTTCTGACGCAGTGTAGCGGCCCCGACTGCCGCCCCAGCGGCTGATGCAGCTGCTCCGTCAGGAACGCACGCCGAGCTGATCATTTTGGCTTAGAGGCACGCTGTTGCGACACTTCGCTGTGCCCTTCAGGAAAAGGCGTCATCCTCCTCGTCCTCCTCCTCGCCCTCCTCGGGGGGCCGCACCACGTCGGCGGCGCGGATGGTTGGTTGGTTGGCTCCCTCCTCCCTCCCCCCTCCCCTTCCCTCTCCTCCCCCTCCTCCCTCCCCCACCCCCCCCCCCCCCCTCCCCGCCCCCCCCCCCCCCAGTATACTCGCACTCCTCCTCACCACTCCCACTCGTGCGCTTCCTCTTACGCTGACTCTTAGTTTTACTTTAATTCTGACTCTGACTCGTACTATGTCTCGTACTCTTTCCCTTCCTCTGATTCTTACTCCGACTCGTGCAGTTCGCCTTACTCTTACTCTGACTCTTACTCTCACCGTTACTCTTGCTCTGACTCTTACTCCTCCTCCTCTTCCCTTCTTCCTCGTCCCCCTTGGTCTCGCCTCCCAGCTAGGAGCTCTGGTGTTTCCTCGGTCGTGCTTCGTTTTCTTTTGGTCGTGTAGCGTTCCTGACAGTCCAAGGCCAGCTCGTCGTCGCCAGTCGAGCTCAAATGCCCATGTGGGCTCGCGTCGTGCTCCGCTTTTCCTGAAAGTCCAGCCCAGCCCAAAACGTCGGGCCGATTGAAACCCGCTCGCATGGCCAGTTGCCCATTTGGGCTCGAGCTGATTTGCGCCGCGCGGATCGCGCGCCGCGTGGCCACTCGACCGCCCTCCAGACGCTGTCTCAGATGATGTGGCTCGCCGTGGATGGTCCGTCTGGGCATGGGCGTACGGTGCCGACGCTCGACCATGCGGACCTCGTCCTGGCTCAGAACCACCGCATCGCAGGTCCTTCGGAGGTCAATTGTTGTGAGTTCGGCACGGTCTCGGTCAAGTACAGCGTGCTGTGGGGATCCCGAGATGGGGCCTGGCTCAAGGTGCTCAAGACGTACTGGAGTGTCCCAGAGCCGGAGTGCCAGCTGATCCTCGGGAGTTGGAACGGCATTTTCAGGCCGTGGCCGGACACGTTCTGGATCAGGCCGGGGTCCGAGCCCGAGATGGAGTGCTAGTACTGTGCGCAGCAGGAGCCGGGGCCGACGCCGCAGGCCGCGGGGCCCCGCGAGCCAGTTGGGCTGGGTTCGACTTTTTCGGATAAGGTTGTTCGAGCGCGCTCCGCTGCCTCTGGCGCGCCGCTGCCCCTGGCGCGCCAAGGCGTTGAAGGCGTTGAGATGCCATCTCGAGATTGCATGGATTGGAGCGGCCAGCTGTGGCAGCTGTCGCATGCCACCGTATGCGTGACACCAGGGTGGGATCTGAAAGAAATTTTCGGGATGTGGGCTGCCGGCGCGGCGGCTGAATCAGCTGGGCTGCCGCCGCCGCGGCTGCGTCAGCTGCAACGGGCGGCCGCCGCCGCCGCTCTCTGGAGACCGTCTGAGTCGCCTAGTAGACGCCGCGCGTTCTGTACGAGGAAGCGGACGCGCAGCGCCGAGCCACCGGAGAAAAAGAACACGTCTCCTTCGACAGAGTCCGATTCGAATCCTCCTCCTCCTCTCCCTCCTCTTCCTCCTCCTCCTCCGCCCCCTCGTCATCGTAGTCGCCGGCGCTGCCGCCGTCGCTCAGCGCCTCCCCCTCCCATCCCTCCTGGTTTTTGTTTTGTTGTGGGATTCGAGTTTTAAAGTCCTCTCTATTTTTTGCGGGCGGCTGGGGGCCTCCGTGGGAATTCTGGGGCGCATCGTTGTGCCATCTTGGAGGCCATCGATCAAAGGATGGCGGCTCCTTTGGGGAATCCCCCCTTCGTGGGGCCCTCCCAACTCCATTTTTGGTTTCTTGCACCCAGCCCTTCGGGGAGGCGCTCTCGGCTAGAACGCGAACGTTCTAAACCGCGGCCGGGGTTGGAACCCGGCCGTTCGCCCCTCGGGCAGCGCCCTGGGCTAGAACTCGATCGTTCTAGACCACGGCGAGGCTACAACCCGCCCCTTCTTGACCCTCGCGGCGGAACCCTGGGCTAGAACGCGTCCGTTCCAGACCGCCGCGGGGCTAGAACGCGGCCGTTCTAGACCCTCAGGGCGCGCCCTGGGCTACAACGCGTCCGTTCTCCAACTCCAGCGGCGTCTCCCCCCCCCTTCCCCCCCCCCCCCTCCCCGCATTGGGGGCGACAGCGTGGACTCCTGGAGGGGGACGCAGAGAAGAGAAGGAGGAGGAGGAGGAGGGGGAGGCGGAGGAGGAAGGAGGAGGAGGAGGAGAGGGAGGGAGCAAGGGGGTAGGGAGGGGGAGGCATGGGGTTGCGGTGCAGGGTGGGGGGGGGGGGTGGGGGGGGACGGGCGGACACTGGGGGGGGGGGTGTGGAGGGGAAATGGGGGGTGGGGGGAGGAATCGGGGGTATGAGAGGAGGTGAGGAGCGCGGAATGAGATTGTATGAGGATTCTTATTATGTAGAGGTAAAATATATAGGCGTAATTATACATGTTCTCAGATGGGGTGTATGTATTTTCGTATTGTATACTATTATAATATGGGATGAAAATTCATTCCTTATGAGTAACTTTATTACTAAATAAAATTATATTAATATTACTAGTAATCGTCAAAACTTTCTGGATGGGGAATCCTCTTCCTCTTCAAACCTTACCTCCACCCCTCTTTTTCTGTTCATAGATTTTGCTGCTTCCGCTCCGCTGCTGCCTCCTCCTGCTGCCTTTTTCAAACATTCACCAAACGCAAACAACAGTACCAAGTCTGGATACCCTCGCGTTCTTCTGTCCGTTCGACTTTTCTGATGTCACTCTCTGCTGCTCCTCCTCCTCCTCCTGCTCCTGCTGCCTCCTCTCCTATAGCCTCTTCGGCCCGAGCTGCGGGGCGCAGTTGTGGCCGAGGGTCCAGAGGACTTCGGCGACGGCACCTCCGGCGACGCGGGCGCCTACCTCAGAGGCCGCGGCTGTGCCAGCTGCGGCCGTGGGGGGTGGTCGCAAACGCAGAGGACAAGGGCAGAAGCAGCGGAACAACGCACGGGCGGCCCTTCATTGCGGGCAGAGCGGCCCGCGCAGCGAGGCCGCCGCGACGGCGCAGACGGCGGGGCGGATGGTCGCGCGCCTGGTTCTAGAGGAGCGCGGCTTGCCGAAGGAGCCTCAGTTGGAAGAGTGGGGGCGTGAATTCACTGGCATCTTCGCGTTGGCGTTCAGCACTAGACTCCTCCTCCTCCCGCCGCCGCCTCCGCCGCCCGCTCATGATGCGGCTGCCTCAGCTGCTGATGCGCAGGCCGCCTGCGTGAAGAAGGAGCCGGAGACGGCGGCGTCAGCGGACAGCGAGTCAGACGAGAGTTATGATTCGGAAATGCCCGCCCCCCGCAGCTGGCTGCTCGCGGGCGCCGGCGCCGGCGCCGGCGCCCCGCCCCCCGCGGCCGCCGAGGCTTCCTCGGCGTCGCCGCCGCAACGCGCGGCGATTGCGCAGCCTGTGCGGAAGGTCGCGCCTCGGGCGGCGCCGGCGGCCGCCTCCTCGCTGCCGGGCCCGCCGCCAGGCCCGCCGCTGGCCCCGGCGCCGCCGCCGGGCCCGCCGCCGGCCCTGGCTGGCGCCGCGCAGCGGCCGCCGTCTCCGGGGCCGCCGAAAGGGTCGCCGACTGCTGAGACGAGCGCGCCGCCTCTGCTGGCCCCGCGGCCGCCCTCTTGGCCACCGCCGCCGCAGCGCGAGCACCCTCCGCCGAGCGGCCCCCCGCCCCGGCGCGTGCCCGAGGGGCCTGTCGGACAGGCCGCGCGAGAGCGGGCCGAGGCGAACGCTCGGGAGGCGCTCACCGAGCTGGAGAGGGCCATAGCCGAGGTCGTAACCCGCCGCAACTGCGGCGGGGGCGCGACGCGTCTCGCCGGGGGCCCGCGCGCTACGACGAGCCGCCGCGGCGGCAGTCCATGAAGGAAGAGCACTTCTGACGCCGTGGACAGGCCCCGGCGGACGTCCCGTCAGGAACGCACGCCGAGCTGGTCGTTTGGGCCTAGAGGCACGCTGTTGCGACACTTCGCGGTGCCCTTCAGGGAAAGGCGTCATCCTCCTCCTCCTCCTCCTCCTGCTCGCCCTCCTCGGGGGGCCGCTGCGTAAAACCCGAGGAAAGGAGTGGGGCGAGGGGGATTTAGCTGATTCCAAGTCGCGGGGTCACATTGCTCATAGGGCTCATGGGGCTTACATGGCTCATAGGGCTCATAGGGTTCATAGAGTTCATTGGGCCCGCAGGGCTCATGGGGCTTATGGGGCTCATAAGGCCCATCGGGCTCATTGGGCCCATATGGCTCAGATGGCTCATAGGGCTCATCGGTGCAGTATGACTCATAGAACGCATGGGGCTCATAGGGCTCATCCGTAGCCGTTTTTTTGCTGAATGTCTTTAGTTTTAGACCTCATCTCTTGCAGCTGCCTTTCAGGGGCTCTCGCAGAAGCGGGCGATGTCTGGAGTCTATCCCTGGACCAACATGTTTCCGACGGGTTGCCAGGTGAGACATCATATTCACGGCGTTCAAACCATCTGGATTGTTGGAGAGGGTACCATGGCGCCACTTTCTCATGAACGCGTCCTGTGTTATCACGGGACCTCCTTGTCGACGGCATTGCTGATCACACAAGGGGGTTTCAAAGTGGGGCCATCGACGGACAATGGCCGAAGGGGCGTATTCTGCATCGGACCTGACCATCATGATGGAATCCTGCCTCTGCCCTCTGGCTTCATGCACGCCAGGGACCGCGCAAAGCCATTCCTCTGCGCCGAGTGGAGGACATTTGGGGCGCCATCATGCTGGTCGATGCCAGTGGTGCTTGCTTTTCCAGTTGACAAGACACGTCTAAGCAAATGTGGCAGAGTTGGCAACGCACGAAAGTGGGTCATTAAAGGCGAGGTTGGAGACTCCTTGCAGTTCGGTCCACTGCAGGTCCTCTTTGACGTCGTTGAATACCACGCCTGGCATCGTCTGCACACTTTGAGCGAGTTGCGCATGAATCATAATTGCCTGAAGAAGAGAGTACTCTTCAATGATGCGCATGAACGCTTAGTCATGTGCGGCGGCAAAACTACAGACTCTTTCTTTTGGTGCCGATCAAATAGCAATTGCTTTGCATCTTGTGGTCGCGTCTGTCCTGTTCCCGACTTGCCCGATAGTTGGATCAAGTCGAAGAAGGGTATTTGGCGTTGTGTACAATGTTACAAAGCGCATTTCTAGAAGCCATTAGGCAAATGGCTCTGCAACTGAACCTTCGTGGAATTTTGAGATGCCATCTCGACCTTGCATGGATTACAGGGGCCAGCTGTAGCAGCTGGCGCATGCCACCATATTCGCGACGCGGATGCCCCTGGACAGCAGGGTGGCATCTGCAAGGCCTTGTGGATCTCGAAATGTGGGCCGACGGCGCCGCGGCTGAATCAGCTGGGCTGCCGCCGCCGCGGCTGCGTCAGCTGCCGCGAGCGGCCGCCGCCCCGGCTCTCTGGAGATCGTCTGAGTCGCCTCGGCGCCTCGCGCGTTGTTTCGAGGAAGCGGACGCGCAGCGCCTGGCGATCTGACCGAAAGAACACGTCTCCTTGGACGGACTCCAACTCGAATCCCCCTCTTCCTCCTCCACCCCCTCGTCATCGCAGTCGCAGGCGCTGCCGCCGTCGCTCGACGCCCGCTGCCGCCGTCGCTCGACGCCCGCCGCCGGGGGGGCACTGGGATAGAACGCGCCCGGTCTAGACCGCCCGCTCCACACCCTCGGGGCGCGCCCTGGGCTAGAGCGCGGCCGTTCTAGACCGCGGCGTGGCTAGAGCCCGCCCGTTCAGAACCCTCGGGGCGCGCCCTGGGCTAAAACGCGGCCACTCTAGACCGCGGCGGGGCTAGAACCCGCCCGTTCGAAACTCTCGGGGCTTGCCTGGGCTAGAACCCGCCCGTTCTAAACCTTCGGGGCGCGCCCTGGGCTAGAACGCCGCCGTGCTAGACCGCGGGATTCGAGTTTTGAAGTCATCTTTTTTTTTTTTTTCGCGGGCTGCTGGGGGCCTCCGTGGGAATTCTGGGGCGCGTCGTTGCGTCATCTTGGAGGCAATCGATCAAAGGATGGCGGCTCCTTTGGGAAATCCCCCCTTCGTGGGCCCTCCAAACTGTATTTTTAGTTTCTCTTGGCCCTGTGAAAGCGATATTGGGCGCTCTTGGAGCCATTAGGGGCCACCTGAGGAGCCTCAGGGGTCCCTTTTGGATCCTCGTGGGCCGTATCGGGTCAATCTCGAGGTCCCGAAACCGCATCGGATGCGAAACGGCGAGAGGGCACGCATCTTACATTCCATGTCGGTTTTCGAAGGTTTGTGGTTTCAGCTGGCGTTCCTGAGGGGCGTTCGAGAGCCCGTGGAACCGTTTTGTGGCCCCCTTGGGTCTGATTTGGCAGGAATGTCGCAAGCTGGCTTGAACGCTCTTCGGCTGTAGCGAGCCGGACCCCATCTTGGAGTCCATATTGGGCCTCTGGAAAACATATTGGGCGAAAAGGGCCTGCTGCCACCTCCCGCCCCCCACGCTCCCCGCCCCCCCGCGCCTCCCCTCCCCCGAGAAACAGTCAGGCAGGGGCGGGGGCGGCTA